CTCCGCTACCTCCCCCACCTTCCCGCACCCCCGGGCGCAAGCCCCACCCAGGTAGGGAGGGCCCTCTCTGCTCTCAAGGAAGCCAGAGCTAGGAAAGTAGGGCGGCCGGCAGGCATGGAAGGCGGTGCGCGCATGCGTGCGAGGCAGAGGCCCACCCCCCTCCCGGAAGTACCCAGGCTGTGCGGAGCGGCGTCCGGGGCCTGCTGGAGGAAAAGCTGCCAGGTTTGTACGGATCGTCAGGCAACACCGGGGACCCCCCCCCCCCGCACCCCGACCCAGCCAAGCTGCAGATACCCGAGCGCACCGCACCCCTCCCATCACGCTCTGCTGCTTTTCTGGTAACTATGCTGTGTTTTTTGTTTTACAAAAATATATGTAAAAGTTTGCTGATTAGTGAGGGAACACGATAGAATGCTCACTCCAACACAGTTTGATAAAATTAGCACCCTCCAAATAAAAGACAAGAAAACAATCTAAATGCCCAAACAGAGGATGGATTAAATAAATTATGGTATATCTAGCAGGTAGAATAGTATGCAGCCTTTAAAAATGATATTTTCAAATAATATTTAGTGATGTGGGGAAATGTTCACAATAAAATGTTGACAGAAAAATAATATCTGGCACACAGTAAGCTCTCAAAAAATGTTAGTAATTATTACAAAATGGTATGTTAATGAATAATACAATTTTAAATTAGTAAACTGTATGTATCTAATGCAAAAGAAAAATAGTGAAACAAATTCCAACAGCAATTATCTCTGGGATATAAGATGATGAATAATTTTTTTGCTTTTTCCCTTTTTTGGTTATTTAAAAATTTGGTGCAATTAGTATAATTTTAGGCTGCAGGAGAAAAAGGGTCACGTTATATTAATTAAAAAAAAAAACCCATGGTCCACTCTCTAGGGCAGGAGTCCCCCAACCCCCTGGGATCTAATGCCTGATGATCTGAGGTGGAGCTGATGTAATAATAATAGAAATAAAGTGCACAATAAATGTAATGCGCTTGAGTCATACTGAAACCATCCCCCCTCCCCGGTCCTTGGAAAAATTGTCTTCCACGAAAACAGTCCCTGGTGCCAAAAATGCTGGGGACCGCTGCAGTAGAGGACAAAACAGAGTCTGTTTCTGCCCTCCTGGATTTCCATTTTAGTGAGGGAGTCACAATAAATGAGTAAATAAAACGATTACCAATTGTGGTAAGAACCACAATGGAAATAAGGGGCTGAAACAGAAAATTCGGGAGGAGGGCATCCAAATCTGAGCCTGGGTAGCCTCTCTTGGGGAGGAGGTACCAGTGGGAGTGTCTGCACACAGCTGGAACTATAAAATAGGAGATCTCTCCCTGAGGTACCCCTATGCCCTGGCTTCCAGCTCCTGCATGCCCCTGACTCCAAAGAGGCAGTCCCCTGGGGCGGTGGGTGGAGAAGGAGGCAGGACTAAGCAGGGAAGGGTGAGGGGCTGCACACCCAGACCCTTGAGGAGGGAGTGGGGAGCTGCCAGAGACCCTAGGGGACCAGCCCAAGACATGTGAGAGGCAAAGCGGGGGCAGGTAACTCAGGCTGCAACCTGCAGCCTTGAGTGTGCAGACAGTTTTTGAAATTCGGACGTTGCCACTATGCGCCCTGTGACCATGACAGAGTATGTATCCCGTCTGTAAAATGGGATAATAGTACCTGGCACAGAGGGTTGTGGAGATGTTAGTACAGAATGATTTCCGGTATATACTGAGCACTCAACACATGTTAGTGATAACAGCGATTATAATAACTACAGAACGTTTACGTACCAGACCTGGTCTGGGCCGCGGGGATCCTGCTGAAACAGGGAAAAGTCCCTGCTCTTGCGAAACTTTCCTTTTAGCAGGGAAGATAAACAATAGACAGGTAAGCCAAAATAATGAGTCAATTTCAGAGGGTGATAGCTACAAAGATAAGGAATAAAATAGGAAGGAGTAGAAACAAGATATCCTGAGACAGAGAGTAGTCAGGGAGTGTTTCTCTGCCCTGAGACCCGAATGAGGGGAAACAGAGGAGGGAGACGAACAAGCTCTCCAGGTAGAGGGTGCAGCTTGCGCAAAGGCCCTGTGACAGGAAAGAGCTTGGCGCGTTCACGGGAAAGCAAGCCAGTGTGACTGGGGTGCTGTCTGAGGCTGGTGGGGCTTTGGAGACCAGGGTGAGAAGGTTTATTCTTGCTGCAATGGCACACAGCTGATGGGAGTTTTTGAGGATTTGATTTTTCATGAGATTATTCTGTGTATTAAATGGACCGGAAGGGACAGGAAGAGAAGCAAAGAGACCTGTTGTGGTTTGATGGGGCCAGAGACCAGTGAGGAGACAGGTGATGGGGACCTGGGCTAAAGTGGCAGAAGCAGGGTAGTGAAAGATGGCTGCATGGAGGATATATTTAGAGGTGAGGACTGTCAGAGCAAGCCGGTGAACCAGATACAGGAAGTGACAGAAAGGGGGGAATCGAGGATGAGCCCCAGGGTTTTGATGCCAATTAAGCGCCGGTTACTAAGATGTAGAAGCCTAGGAGCCAGTTGGGAGGAGACCAAGAATTCAGGTTTTCAGGTCACAATTCAGATTTTCAGGTCACATTTAAGGTGCCTATTTAACCTCCAAGAGGGGGGCGCCTATCACAGCTGGATATATGAAGCTGGGTCTCTGAGGGAAGTCAGGGTTGGGGCGGGTGTGGGAGTCCTGGACCCTCCCACATGCAGAGAACAGGAGGAGGAAGGGACCCGGGGGCATAAGAAGATGCGGGGTGTGATGTCAGGAGCCCAGGTAGAAGGTTTCAGGGAGGAGGGGAGTCGTCGGTCCAGCTCCTGAGAGGTCATGGGGATGGGGGTGAAGGCCCTGCCAGCTCCTGAGAGGTTATGGGGATGGGGGTGAAGGCCCTGCCGGGGCGGTTGGAGGGGAACCAGAAGTGAGTAAGCAGAGCCGGCAAGGGCCGGGAGTGCTTTCAAGTTTTGCTGTAAAGTGGAGCAGAGAAACAGGGCATCTGGATGGGGGTCAAGGGACAGTGTGCGTGTGTGAGATGATGGGCGGCATTAAGGAGATGCCTGGGGAGAAACGGAGAAGACAGAGGGAGCTGTGGCCCGAGCAGGAGGGCAGAGTGGGACTCAGAGCCGGGTGGAGGGAGGTGGCGCAGCACAGCAGGTCAGCTCCCTCTCGAGACAGGCAAGAGGGGTGGGCTGGGGGAGCGAGGACGGGAGATAACAGAAGTCCTCACGCTGGGCCAGGCAGGACCTCAGTGATGGATTAAGGCTCACGTAGCTGTTACATGAGCCAAGTCAGGGCCAGGCAAGGGAGGGACGCCTTGTGAGAGATCGGGGTATATTTCTCTATGCTGGTACCTTTCCTTCCTCCGATGGAGTGGAGGCCTTGCGATTCCATCAGAGGCGAAGCTTCTCAAAGGCCCCGGGTTCCCTCCCTCCAGCCAAGTGCACTGACCTTGGCTAAAGCCCTGGGCCCAGGGGGGCTGCGTGGTGGCGCGTCCCACGGGCAGGGCCCCTCCCCACCCAGCGCCCGTGCTGTACCCACGCTGGGGTTGGGGGTAGGGCACCCGAGGCCACATGCTTGACCACGAGACAAAACCCAGGTTTCCAAAGAGAAGACCCAGGCTCAGGATGGGTAGCTGACCTGCCCGAGGCCACACAGGATCCAGATCCGTGGGTTCTGAATGGTGGTCTTTCTTCTGAGACAGTTCAGGGCACTGGGGGCTTCGGGGTCGAGAAGGGGTGAGGGGTTGGCAGTGTCGCTCTCTGAGGTTTGAATCCATCTCTGGAAACTGCTGTGAGCTGTCCACCTCTCAGAGGCCTTCGCCCCCAAGCCCCCAGGCACTTCCAACCCAGCCGCACCCCCTCCTAGGATCCTAGCTGAGGGGAGGAAAAGGTACACTGAGGTGAGTGGGCCATGGCCTTTTAAGAAGGTGTGTTGAAACTTAAGAGAAAGGGAGCTTTGGGCTGATGCCAGGAGACTGTCCAAGGGGAGCCCCCGTGCCCCTTGCACGTGACTTCCCCGCGTCCCCATCTCCAACATACAGTTTCTTCCCCTCACTGCAGCCCCTCCTCCAACACCCACATCCCCCAGGAATTACACCCAGTGCCCATGCCTGCGCCTCTGGCCCTGCTACTTATGGCTTTGGCTCCCCCAACCAGCCAGCGCCCCCAGGCAGCCTCTTCTCTCCCTCCTTCCTCTATTCCACCCCAGATCCACTGAGTCAAACATGGTGAGCCCAGGGAAGGTTCTCTTGAACCAGCCAGCCCGGGCCTGGTGGTGTGTGGCATCTCCTCCCCGCCTGGGGCCGACCCACCTGGGCAGTCAACCCTGTCACTCCCCATCTATCTTGACTCCTGCCCAGCCCTGACCCTTCCCTGTCTTTCCCAACCCCTCTACCATCAAGTGACACCTCATTTAAACCCAGGAACTTCACAGGATGGTTTTTATTAATGAAATGGCCCTAGCAGCTCCCTCCCATAAGCTCTAGCCAGACCTCCCACCCTCAGCTCTGACGACGCTGGGGTGCTCAGCCTTGGCCCTCAGAGCCAAAGGACACCAAAGATACCCTCCCATTTCTCCTTAGACTTGGAGCTAGAGTCTCAGGGATTCAGTCCGAATTCCACCCCCCACCATGCTTCCTCCAGGCCGGCACTCCAGGTGAGCTAATTTTCAAAACTTAAGTGACCAAATAGTGTTGCTTCCACCTCTGGCTTCTCGCTACAGATTTTTAGCTTCTCACACACACAAAGTGTCTTGAGTCTCTACTTTCCCACTGAGATTAACACATTTCTGAATTGGTCAAACTAAAGACTACATTTGTTTCTTTCTGAACTGAGAGTCTCAGAGCTGAAGATACACTGTTGGCTGACCTTTGGGAGGAGATCAGGCGAACATGTCAGGAGCCAACCAAAATGTTCATCTACTTTGCCCCAGTAAGTCTCATTTCTGGTAATGTTATCTTAAAGAAAAAAATACAAAATATAGGGGGGAAAAGCCAACACATAAAGATATTTATTGCAGCTCTATTTATAGCTAAAATAAAATGCATATATATATATAGAAACAAACATCCAACAAGAAAATGCCATGCAGCCATTTTTTAAAAAAGAATTCTACATCAACATTGAAAAATATTGAGAAAAAAGTAGGATAACAGTTAAATATACATTTACAATTTTGTAAAGAAAATAAAAAGTGCCCATGAAAAAAAAGCCTGTTATTTTCCCCTTTTTCTCAAATTTCCCCCTTATAATTTCTTTCAAAGCTGCCAGCAAAGTGGTGCAGTCCTAAACCTCCCCCGAAATCTGCTGTAGGAAAGAAACCTTGAATAATCCTCCCTGAAGACAAGAAATCATTGGCGGGATCTGCTTGGCACTTAGGAAATGGAAATGCAGCATGGAATGCCAGGGGTCTTAGAGAGGAGATGTGATGGGAAAAGCCCAGTTCTTCTATGTGTTCAGATCAGTCTCTTAGATGGGACAACAGGGAACTAGTAACTGCCAGGCAAAGAGTCACGAGGACAAAGGGGACATCATGTGTGAACGGGCTCTTCCAACCGCAAGGCACCGTCCACTTGCAAGATAGTGCTGAGGAGGGGTGGGTCAGCCAGGATAACCCAGACTTGGGGTCTCAAGGAAGGTCAGCAGGAGCCCCAGTGGCTGTCCAGCGCCTCTTAACTGACCAGGGCTTCACTGTACTCAGGGCAGCCCTCGGACTGCTGGCCAGTAGTGAAAAAGGATCTTCTTGTGCTGAGCTGAAATAGACCGACTTCGGCCGACTGGCCCCACTTCCGCCTGCCACGTGGAACTGCCCCAAATCATCCCAGCCCCTTGGGCTCTCCCTGTCATTGTCTGCACCATTCTCTAAATTCTCCCATTTTGGGGGCCAAACACCTGTGTCTCCCAGGGTCCCTTGCACAGTCTAGACTGTCCACCACCCGGCTGCTCTCCTCTGGATGCCCTTGTGTTTTGGAGAAACCCCACACAGAGAGGAACTGTGCCCGTAACCAAAGCCCTCTAGCTTGTCTGACACAGGCACGAGGCCCACTCCTCTCCCGGCTCTAGTCTGAAAATTTCTGTAGCTCAGCCTGGACAGAATCTGCTCTTCCTGCAACCTTGCCTCACTCTAACTTATCTTCGAGCTTCCTGTCAACCAAACCACCCTTTTTTGCACCCAGTTTACAGTCCCTATTGAATGTTCATGCAGGTGATGTTTTTAAAGGGAGGAGCTGCACTGTCTAGACCCAGTGCTAGGACCTCTGAAGAAGGTTGCCAACAGTCATGTCAGGGGAAAGGAGACGCAAGACAAAAGGACATTATTACGGTGCTTTTTCCGTTTTTCTTTTTTGCACAAAAACAGTCCATTTATTCAAGTGTTCTCCAGCACAAGTACATTAGAAAGGAGCTTTATTATATGCTTCTGGGCACAAAAAAAAAAAAACGTGATGAAGGCGGAACTGACAGACTTTCTACATCTGCTGTACGCACTGACCTCTTTATAATTATTTCATAACAGCTATGTCACGAGCATCACTTACACAGAGATACAACAGAACACCAGGGCATGGGGGTGGGGACCCGTGCAGGGCCCTTTCACACTTGCCCCTCCCCGATGTCCCAGAACCAGACTGTGAAATGTACATTATTATTGTCAATAAATAGAGAAGCAACCCTAAAAAAAATACAGTGGTGAAAGGATGCTGGAACCAGGGAGAAAAAAAAAAACAACAACAACAAAGAGTCAGAAGAGGAACTGAAGAGAAAGGAAAGAGGGTTGGGAAGGGAAGGGTCTGGGGAGTTAAGTCCTGCATTTAGCTGCGTGGAATGTGCAGTAAAAGTGCTCTCCCGCCGGGGTCAAAGCGAAATCGTCTGTAACAGTAAAAGTTATTACCAAATCAGCTACGGAGTTTATTCTTCAGTATGAATACATGATTTCCCACAAATAAGTAAGCACCCGCTACTTCAATGCCTCAGCTAAAACACATGAAATCGCTCATTTAGTTTTCAAGTACAAAGTTAAAATGCCTTTTTAATAATAATATATCAGAGTAAAATAATAGTCTCTTTTAAACTCCACTACAAGAAAACAAAACAAACAGTCATTGTCCAGACAGCAGACTTAATTTAACAATATATATTTTTAATAAAATGTTTTAGCACCTTGTTGAGTCACCTCCTCCCTCTGCGTATTCTAAGGAATTTCGGCATTTTTGTGGTTGGTTGGGTTCTAGGGCTGTGCAACCAGATCAGTCTGTGAAGTGAAATGGGACTCAGGTGATGCTTTCGGATCCCTGCTCATGTCCTCAGGCCCAGGGCTGGAGGCCGTGAGACTGGAGGCTGAGAAAGCCGCCCTCCCATGCCCCTGCGGGGCGTTTTCCAGTTACTGGAGTTACAGGAATCTGCGGGCCTCCGTTCGGGCGATTCGGCCGGCCACGACTAGCTAAGGACCTTCCATCCTTGCCCTCACTGCTTCTGACCTGCTTGTTTCTCCCCCTCCCCAGGCTCCACTGCTGAGGATCAGCTGGATAAACAACCCAAGGCCCACTCAGCCGGGTCTCTGGAACACACCGGTGCAAGAGGGGCTGCTCTCGCTGCCTGAAGACCCCAGCCTTCCTTTACCAAAACGTAAAGACTCGAGAGCTTCTGCTAGAACAGTGGAGTCCATCCTGGATAGAAATCTATTCTCTTTCCTCTTAGATCCTCCAAACACTCATGGTTAATCCCTGCCTCAGCAAGGAATGGCCGGGAGAGCCATTCCAGCTCCACGCCAGCCCTCCAGAGGTGGAGGAAAGAGGGCAGGACAACTCCAGTGTCATCGCTAATCACAAGCGCTGGGAGGGGCCAGACTAGACCACGCCCGATGACAAATTCAGATTCCTCATCTCCTGCGATCAAAACGGGGCCTGGCTAGAAACCCAGTTCTCACCAGCATCTTGGCTCTGCTGCTACCCTGACCACAGGCAACGACCAGCCCTCATCAGATCACAGTGCGAGGCAGGACCCACGGCCCTAACCCTGCAAGTTTCTTGAAAACGACACCTCTGAAAAATACCAGTGCCACAGCCTCTCTGCCCCAAACAGAACAGCGACAGGAATTCAAAAGCGCCTCCAAGATCCACTTTATGTATAATGATGTCATCAGCGAGATGAAGGCTAAGAACATTCCCCAGGTGGCTCTGCTGAAACAGTTCCTTCCCTTGCTCCTGTTACAGACCTTCCTGTGCTGGAGACCGTGGGCTATTCCCATCTAATTCCCATCCCATCAATTCAGTCTTCCCCAGAATTGCCAGCTATGCAGGAAGTAAGGGGAGCCGGCCCTCATTAGACCAGTCCGATGTCCACCACCAGCCTTTCTTCCTGCTGGGTCTGCCTGTCCCAGTCTGCACTCTAGCGACTCACCAAAAACCCACAGGCATCTTCGCCAGCCGCCACTCCCAGGCCCGTCTCAAAAGCAAAGCAGTCCTGCGTGCTCTTTGGGGAAGTTTGCTTTCTAGAATGTTCAATAGCAGGAAGGTTCTGGGGTCTAGAAAGAAAAACAGACAGTGGCACACCTGGGTTGCCATCACTGACTGCAAGACCCCACGGGTCCTGTGCTCCTCGGTCGGCTCCCGGGAAAGGCAGGCAGCACCAGCCAGCTTGAGGCCCACGGGGCTCAGCGGCGCTGGCTGGAGACGAGCTTCCTCCTCGGGCAAGCGACCCAGGGCCCTGCGCCCTGCCGAGCCCCAGCTACCTACCCCCGGCAAGAGGCACAGGTCCCTCTGGCACCTGCAGCAAGTAGGGGGCATCATCCTCAGTCCCTAGAAACCCTCGTTTCCAGGAATTTGTAAATTGGCCTGCTCTTCAGAAAGAAAACCCCACTGGGAACATAGTCCAGAATTTTCCCTAGGCCTTCATGGTCTCTCCCGCTGCGCTGCCTCTACCCTGAGCCTCACGCACAACGAGTGCCGCGACCCCCCACCTGCATCCCCGCGCGACCTCACCTCAGCCTGTCCAAGCACAGCTCCCCTTTAGAAGGGGACCTGATCACTGCGCCCAGGAGCACCCCCAGAGTTGGACAGCACGCCGGTGTGGCCAAGTTGGCACATCCCCAAGGTCCCCTGCACCCTACCAAGCTCTACTATGGGACCAAGCCCACGGGTGTGGCTGGAAGAAAAGCTGGTGATCGTTAACTCTCATCCCTGCGAGGGTGCATCTGGCCCCTTCTGGGGCCTAGTCAGGTGGCCAGACTGCGCGCAACAGGTCCTCAGCCACAGCAAGCAAGCTGGCCGGCCCACGCCGAGCCCTCAGGCTCACCACATCCTTGGCTACTGAGCTGCTTCCCCACACCAAGCCCGTGGGTGGGGCTTGGGCCACTGGGAAAAGCAAACTCCTGCACACAAGCAGTGGACAAAAGGCCTCGGAGAGCCAGGAAGTCTGTCTGCAGAGGAAGAGACTCTGCCCTGACACTGGGGCTGGGAAGACCTTAGCGTTGGCCGCCAGGGGAGGGAGCACCTTGGACTGCCTGCGGCAGCCCTCCTCCCCCAGCCCTCCGGAGCAGTGCTGGTGGGCTCTGGGCCGGGAAGATGGAGCCTGGCTGGAGGGGGTGGGGTGAGCACCACAGTTCGGTACAGACTCCAACGAGGGAAGGGCCGAGGGCTTCCCCCACAGCTGCTCCAGCCCCGTGGGAGCCCACCATCACCACCTGGCATCACGGCACACAGCTGGCAGGAAGCAACTGGGTATCATCTTAAAAACCAATCTGACAAGGAAATGAGTAGCCCGGGGTGCGGGACTAAGCACCCCTAAAAGGAGCGGGAGACCGCGGCCACCAGCTGTGGGCTTACTCCTGAGCAATGAGCACGGGATTCAAAGCCTGGTTTCGTTTTGTCACCAATTACTAATTTGCTTTATTCAAAAGGTGAGGTTCACTGTCCCATTTTTTTTCCAATGGAAGCCCCCTGGCCAAGACAGCCCTGGACGTCAGTTTCGTTTTGGTCGGGGGAGAATAGGTAGGGGGAGTTGAGGGCTGACTGGACTGGTGCCTAGGGTTGCAGGTCAGTGTCACAGGTTGCTAACAGAAGAGTCTTTTGACATCACCAGGGGCAAAAGAGATAGAACGCTACCTGCTAGAGGAGAGCACCTGCTGAAAGAAAACCTCCTCCTTTTCCTGCCCTCAGCACCTAGCAACTTCTGGGATTGACAGTCTACCTGCAATTAGGGCAACAGAGGTAAAGAGCTGCAGGGCCGACTCTGCAAAGTCCTGAATCCTGGGGAGAAGAGCGCTGGGAGCTCCCTGGCTGTGTGTGTGTGTGTGTGTGTGTGTGTGCGTGTGGGTGTGCGTGTGCGTGTGTGTGCGCACGCGCATTCGTTACGCATCGGTATAGAAACATGTTCCTGTGTGTGCGTGTGGGACTGACTGATTGGTGTGGGGCCTGTCTGCAGTGGGGCCCGAGACTCAGCATTCTGAGCCTCCTTCCCCCGCTCCCCACTACAAAATATTTCTTATACGTGACCCTATCTATGTATTTATATAGCGCCTATCACCGTAGGCCCTATCTTTCTAGGGATGCGAACGTGGGACCATGTGCTTGGCAGCACCCCTGCCAGCCCTGCCAGTCCCAGGAGGTGCCACTCCCCCCTCCCATTATAAAATATATATCTCTATATGCCACATTATCTACACCCCATCTACCCAGGCAGGCATCTGCCCATTGGGCCCTCACCCTGGAGCCACACATGCCGTCCCTGCCTACAGCCAACACCAGGCTGCCTGCCTCGCCGGGAAGCGGAACCAAGTGTCGTGCACTTGGGGCTCCAGGTGCTGCTGACTCGAGGTAAGAGCACAGCTATCATCAGACCAAGTACTAGAAAAGAAATACACACCACTCCAATCACACACGCGAGGAGAGAGATGCCTGGTCCTCCCTCCAGCCCTGACACACGTGACTCGAGAGGAGGGAAGCAGAAGAGAAGAGGGACGCGCCCGGAAGGCCGGCCTCGGGGACCCCCTGGCCGACGCCCAGCTGTCGCAGCGCCCGGTGGCCCACCTGGCCCGAGGGGTGGGGAGCCAGGGCACCAGGGCCACCACTGACTTAGAAGCACCCTGCTCCCCGCACCTTGGTTTGAAACCTAAAGGGAGGGGGGGTTGGGTTTTTGTTTTCTTAAAGAAAATCTGAAAACAAACATAATTATAACCAGAACCATAAGAATAATTATAACAAAAGGTGTCATCAGCCTCCCAGTATAAAACTGCAGCCTTTGGAGATGACCAAAAACATCACATTCCAGGGGCCGGAAGCCGCCTTGTGCACAGAGGGTGGATGGTGGGGGCCTCATAAAAGAACACACAAAAAGCGACTTAGACAGGAAAGCACCAGTACGTTTTGTATGTTTTTTTATTTGCTCCAGGTGGGGTCTGAACTGTCACTTGCCCGCACTCTGGATTTTTTCTGACCCCACCGCAAGGAGCCCTCGAATCGGCTAATGTGAGAAATTGGGAATGAAGACCCCTCATCCTGCCATCTTGCCGAGGGAGTCTCCTTTTCTAAAAAAATCAAAAGGTTATCTCAGGAGCCTGGATGGATCCCACTCTCAGCTTTCCACGGTCCCGACCACTGAATTTCACCCCCTTTTTTGGCAGGGAGAAACGGGAGAATGCTGTTCCCAAATTCTCCTCCTTCACCTTGTTAAACACCAAGGGGAAATTGAAAAACCCCACCACGGTTAACGGTTCACCTCCAAGCTGTCTCCCTTTCTCCATCCTTGGTTAAAACCCTTTGCACATAAGGCAACGTGGAAGCTGATGTTTTTACTCATCTCGCTGTTGTAAAGCACCATTATGAAGTCGGGTTGTACAGTAGTTAACAGTACCTTTTATATATATATCTCATATCTATCATATATATATAAACTGTAAACAAGAGGTAACAGCGGCTTCTAGAAACTGATTTTCTTCAAGGTTTCCTGTGTGGTAGGCACCTGAATACTGTATAAAAGGGTCTTGTGTGGTGTTCTCGTCTCTCTGCTGCTAGTTGGGTTGTGTTTTGCATGACCAGGAATGGTGCTGGCAAGACAGCTCAGTGGCTGGGAGGGAACTCTGCCGCCTGAGTGTCTATTTTCTGTCCTCTGCTTGTGCTCCTATCTGATCAGGCTAGAGACAACAACAAAAAAAAAGATACATAGTAAAAAAAACAAAACAAAAACAAAAAAAAAAACAAAAAAAACCCCAATATATAGATTTCTATAGAATTTCCTTCTTTCCTTCACTCCCATCTTTCCTCTGCAAGGTATGTTACTATTTTTTGTTACTGATTTTTTTTTTTTTGCTGCAATAAACCCTCTTGTTTCAGTCACAGCAAGAAACAAAAACCCAAACAAACAGAAAACCCCTCTGAAAAGAGTAGAAAACAAAAGGTTTGACCGAAAAAAAGGGGGTGGGAGGGTGGGGAGGGAGCTTGGTTTTGTTTTTAAATAGGACTGAAGATTAACATTGAAAAATCAGGAGATGATGTCCAACCCTTTTTACAAGGCAAAGCCTTCCGGTATTTCTGCCTCTGTGGGGTTTTTTTTTTTGTTTTAAATTCCTTTTCCTCTTCTGGGTGCTGATACTTCTCTCCATCCTCATGTTCTTGGTATTTTGTTGTGTTTTGTGTTTTTTGTTTGTTTGTTTAAACCTTGTTTCACTACCTCGGTTTGCCCTCACGTCCCTTACACACAAGCAAAATATTCCTTCAGCGGAGCGAAGAGGTGGCGGATGACGGGCACGCTCCACGACCGGCCCAGCAGTCTCTGCCTCGCCAAGCGGCTCATGTTGGAGACGTCGGTATAGTGGACAGGGAAGCCAAACACCCTGGGGAGAAAAGGCAGACAGGGCAGGAGTCAGCGCCAGCCTGGGCAATTCTGTGTCCTTAATAACCTGTTCGAGACTCAGGCGCCCGGCTACTCTCTGTGGGTCTGAAGGTATGTTAAGATGATCACTGCCTAGAGATTTCCCACGCAGTAGAAACAGAGTTAGCGTTTGTGAGAAACACCTCCAGGACACGCTCCACCTGAAATTCAGACCCACAGTGGGTATCTCAACTCTGTATGTAATAAAAATACATCCCTGGTATCTTCCCCCGCAGAGAACGGAAGACTCTGCAAGGGGGCCAAACCCTTGCCTGATGTCAGGAGTTCCTGCTTGCTCCGGCTGCCTGTGAAAATGGTCTCTTTGTCTGGCTAAATGGCAGTTACCCCAAGAATGAGGAATCTAGCCCAAGTCCAATCTGTGCCAAAGCAGGGTGCTGAGGCTTTAAGGCCCACCTGGTCCCACACTGTCCTGGTCTGCAAAGCACATAACATCAGCAAGTGGGACGCAGGGAAGCTCCTGCAGCCACAGTGCTTCCTTGGAGCTCAGAAGGACCGCTGGGAGCCAAGGCATCGGGGGTTGATTCCTAGACGCCCCCCCCCTTACTTTAAACCAGCCTTACAACGCACAGGAGTCCTCCCCCAGGAATCTGCCATGTTGGGAAATGCTTGGGAAAACCCACTGCTCACGGGGTATCCGCAGGGGATCCGAGTCTGGTGCAGAGGCGGAGATCCCTCCCACCCGCTCCTGCCCGACACCAGCCTGAGTGGGTACCTTTCCATTTCAGTGCACCATAAGATGTCCTCTTTCTCATTCATGAAGACGGGGAAATGCTGGTCTTTGCCCTGCTTTATGGAGTTCGACCTAGTAGTAATGGTCCTCACTTTGCTGAACTAGAAGACGAGGAGAGGAAAAGAGAAATGAGTACTCATCTCCTGCCAGGCACCTACCAAGGACTGGTGCGTCCAAAGGTGACAAGGCCTGGTGCATCCAGGGGCCGAGGTCAGGCTCCAGTCGTGAGCCTCCACAGACCCCCCTGCCCTGCTTTCCTTCCTACACTGAGGGCACCCGGCCATCCTCAGTCCAGTCCCACTGGCCAAGGGCTTGACAGACAGCAGCTTGAGCCACTGTCCTTCGTCAGTCTCCTAAGAATTGTTTTTTCCCAGGGGTGGTGACTTACAGGCAAGAGGATGCCAAATTACTCAGGGGCGCAAAGGCACCCCTGGGGTGCCAGCAGCCCCAGGAGGTTTCTCCAGCGAGAAAGGGAGCTTCCACATCACAGGAGAAGCTCTGCTCTGAAGGCTCGTGCAATAGGTCCTGGCTCAATCATTCAAAAGCCGTAGCAGACGCAGGGACCTTGGCAAAGACGTCTTAGTGTCTGCCTCCCACAGGAGCAGCGGGCGAGCTCAGCACGGAAGGGCTGCAGGCAGCAAGGATTCCTGACCTCTCCCCCGGCCCTCCAGGCTTTCCCCCCTCGACCCTCCCGCTCTGGCCAACTGCATGCACGACCCCCTCAGTCGCATCCTCTGCAGGCGGGACACACAGCCCTGGTGCTGTTCCAGCCCGTCCTGCCCTTCTCCTTACCCCCAGCAGAGGGCTTGGATGCTGGGCTAACCTTGGCTATCCTGCCGTGCTCCAGACACTCCTGCAGCTCCAGCTTATCATTCACAGTGGATGCCAACGGCCTGGAAGGCAGAAGAGAGAGAGTAACAACAGAGACCAGGACGACGGCAGGGGCGCACCCAGGGCCCTGAGCCAGCAGCCATCTGACTCACACGGGGAAATCAAAGAGGACCCCGTCACCCACGTGCGTCGTAACCCCCCTCAGACTCCCCAACACATGCGACATACACTGCAGCCACTCACAGACACAAGTCCCCCAAGCATGAATCCTTAAAGGTGAATTCAAAAGTGGTCTCAAACTACAAATGAACAGACAACGCCTGCCCAGACGGGGAAAAGCCCAATTATTTTTAAACCTGTTACTTAAAAATAGACTGAGTCTTAAAAGCACCCATCACAAAGCAAGCTTTGGCATGACAGAATGGCCTGTATTTCGACTACGGTGATGGTTACATGGGTCTGTACACTGGATGAAATTCGTCAAACTGTACACCTGAAATGTACAGTTAGTTAACCAGATAAATTCTGCACAGTCCCCAGAAGACTAAAATTTTGTGACACGGAACGTGTCACTTCTCAGAAGGCAGACCAGATCACTAAATATCACCTTCGCTGCTGGCCTTTTCTGACATTTAGGATTACGTAATAAAGGTTTCACAGAGCGGTCCACCATCTCTGCATGGGAACCACCCCAGGACCCATGGTCAGATCGCGCCTCCAGGCTCCTCCCTGTTTAGGCGCATATACACTCTACTTGGTCCCTCGCGGTACCTCTGCTCCTCCTGGAAGCTCAGAGTTCTAGAATTTTAGAGTTGGAAGAAGCATGTGAGAACAATCCCCCCAAGGGCTGTCAGGGTACGCTGAGTTACTGGCTCCATAAAAATACTGGACTACATAAGCCAGTCCATTTTTCCAGTACGCACAGACATCCATCCCGGGAACATTAGGGAGACACCGAGACAGTTTTCAGGTCAGCTGCCCACTGACCCATCTCCTTCCCAGCCAACAAGCCCTCGCAAAAGACGGCAGCTTTGCCAAACAGGTATGAGACGGGGGAAGTTCCTAAAACTTCATGCTATTGCCAGAGAGGCAGATTAGATGACTGAGGCCAGGTTAAATGATGTTCCCAATTTGTAGGTGTACCAAGGAGGCTTAAAATCCACACTCAAAACATGGTGCAAAGTATTTCTTTCCGTAATAGGTATCTAGATTGGGTGGATCTCCCTCTGCTTTTGAACCACTAACTCTCAACCAGAATTCCTTTCTTCACATACGCCTTTTTATAGTACGATTATTACGCTGAAGAAATGAAATTTTCTTCATTCCTGGACATTAAAATCTCTGTGTAACCTAAACGAAGAGCATCCTTCCGAAAAAGGACTTGAAGCCAACGAAGTGTGTGGATAATAAGTGGAGCAGGGCCCTCTGAGCTGCGAGGTGCCTGCTGCTTCGACACTCTCTCTCCTGGAGCCCGATGTGGCCCAGCTGTGTGCACCACTCTCCTTCCCATCCCCAAACACATCCTCCACAGCTTTACCTCAGGGGACTAGGGACCAGCTGACTCTAGACACATCACCAACGTAGGAGAACCAACCATATAACTCAGCAGCACGATGAGTCCTCTTCTGTGTCAAGAGTGTGCTTTTTAAAGGTCCCATTTGGGACCACTAGTCCTTGGTTTCTCAGGCAAGTATTTTCTACACCTGACTCCCCTTCTTCCTCAAGGAAAAGGAAACAAAGAAGAACACGGCAGAGCAGCAAGCTGGTCAGCAGGGGAGGCTGGCCCCCTCCTCGGGGCGTCATCCTGCCTGCAGACACCCACCCGCAGCCACCTGGGCACGGAGCTCTCACCAACCTGTTCATACCGGGAAGGTTCCCCCAGAAGTAGCGGGCCCTGTGTGCAGCCGACACTTCTTTGGCATCAATCATCACAGGGTTGGACTATAAAACAGGACAGAGGTGAAAGATGAGTGAGAGAGAAATGTAAGAGTGCCAGGAAATTCGCTAGTTTAGAGCCTCAAAGGCTCTTACTTCTCTCTCTCGAGGCCACACTGGGAGAGCCTGAAGGCCCCAGGAAAAGCTGGAATTAAACCCAGCTACGTTCCACACGCTCCCACTGGAACAGTCTAGACCCGCACAGTCCACACCGCGATGATGGAAATGTTCTATCTGCACTGTTCCATGTAGTGGCCACTAGCCCACCAGCTGCAGATGGCGGAGTACTTGAGAGGAGGCTGGTGTGACTGAGGAATTTTAATGTCAATTTAAATGCCACACATGGCAGATGCCCACCACACTGGACCACACAGCTCCAGCTCGCCCGGAGGCTTTGAGAAAGAAAGTTCCAACGAGTGTGGATGTGTTCGCTGTAGTACGTCCACATTGTGAGCCAAACACACCAGCTTGAGGCGTTTGCCCCCAAGACCCGGGAGCACAGGCTCGGGCTCCCAGACTGCCCGCCCCAAGAAGGACTCTGGCTGCAGAAACCCTCTGTGCACAGCCCAAACCAGGCTCAGCAAGCTGGGACCCACAAAATGGGAAATAGAAACTGAGATAAGCTCTGTTTTCTTCCCAGGTGCCATAAAGCATCCGTCACGGTGCCAGGGAGCGAGGACAAGCCACTCTGGTTGGGAAAATTGCTTCTGGTATCTCAGAGGTTCCCCCAGGGAAACGCCACACAGACCCCCAAGCCCAGGAGTCTGACACTCCACCCTGTTTACAACAGTCAGGCCCTCCAAGTGCTGAGGCCCACACCCACACACCACCTCTTACAGTGAGACCACGGGTTCTGTCCAAGGCGTGCTTCCTCCCTGTCTACTTGGGAAGCCCAGAGCTTCCCAAACGGGCCCCTTGCAAAGCGGAAGTCACCAGTCCCCAGCTCCACAATGCAGATGAGACAGGGATAAAGCAGCAGTCCAAGGTAGAAGCCATTAGTGAGCTGACCAAACCAAGGGTGCTGGCTATACCTCGAGAAATCGCGAGATGTCCCTCTTGTCACTAACGCCCATGGCCACCACATTCTCAAAGAGCCAGAAGAAGGGGCGATCATCTCCCTCCTTGGGCCGCGCATCATGCAGGAGGCGGTAGAACTCAAAGAAGAGCCGGCCAGTGCCCTCTGAGAGGTCGGAAGAGAAAGCCATCAGCTGGGGCTGTCTGCAGGAGACAGTGGTGTGGCCCGGGCACGGGGAGGGCAGGGGAGGGCAGGGTCGTTGGGAGTAGCCGTCCCAGGGCAGAAATATCCAAGTAGGAAACTGACGTGCGAAAGCACCAGCTCAGAAGGTGGAGGGGTGAGCGCAGCACCTACCGTAGAGTCCCTTGCGGGCGGGGTTGACGATGGAGAGATCATTGCAGGGACTGCCCCCAATCACCAGATCGAACGGGCCCCACTCCTGGATCTGGGAGGATAAAGGTAATGTGATGGGCCTGATGTCCGGGGACAGAGGCAGAAAGGGAGAGAGAAAGGATCTGTGAATTTAGCAAAAAAGTACTTTGGCATGGGAGAGAAGAGACCCAGCTGCTTTGAATGCTCTCTACATACACACGTACATTCGTATACACACACGCGCGCGCACACACAGTGCAGCCACAGGCAAGTCACTGAGGCTCTCTGGGCTGTTTCCTAAATAATAAAGGGAAAGGACTGAACTGGACCATCTCTGAGGCCAGTGGGGAAACCAGTGTGCCCCCAGCAGGAAAAGCAGCCACTCAGGGGGGACAGCGGTCCAGGCTGGGCAGCTGAATGAAAGGTACTCTGTGCTCTGCGCACCTTGGGCAGGTGTCTGGACCATCTGAACCCCTCCATATGCCCTTCAGGATGCCTGAGGGCCTGTAGTTCGAGGTCGACATGGATAACTGGAAAAGCAAGGGGCCACTCAGGCAGGATCCCGCCAGATCCCCCCCTCCCCAAAATGGAGGCTGGCGAACCTTTCGCCAGCAGTACTGGGAGGATGGGAACCTCACTGCAACCCACAGCGCTCCACTCAAGAGGGCCCGGAAACCAGCCAGGCCCAAGAAGCCTGGCCCCCAATTCCCACTGGAATCTGCCCCGATCCTCTAGAGACAAGGAGGGAAATGGAAGAGAAGGAGGGAGAGAGTTCAACGGGGGAGGGGGGGAGAAAGGAAAAGAGCAAATGGACAAAATGAGAGGAGCTGGCGCTGTCCCCGGAGCTAAGTGACGTAGAGAAGGTGGGCGGGGCCGTGGCGGCACTGACATACATGCTTCTGCGTGACGCTGCGGACGTCCCCGACGTACATGATCTTCCCCTGGTGCCGCACCATGCCCACCGTGATGGAGTCCTCGCACACCTCGGAAGCGATGTAGCGATCCACCTGAATGCCCAAGTCCTTCAGCACCAGAAGCCCTGTGCCAGCCAGCAAAACGCACCGTCACTGGGTCACCTCCCTGGCACCCCAGTCTTTGCAGGGGGTCCCTCGGGCCAGCCGGACACATGGGTCAAAGGCAGGCCCAAGCCCTACCCTGCCCTGAAAGCCGCAGGAGACTTCTGGATCAAACTGGAGTATCAGTAACAAGGACATCAGACAGGCTGTTACGTCGAGGCTCTTTCACGCCTAATTTGATCTACTCAGAAAATAGTCAAGACAGGACAGCAGGGGGTTTCGGGAAGCAGGGACAACAACAACAGGTGACTTTTGGGTGGGCTTTGCTGTTTCTGTATCTTGCATACACTGGTCCTTCCTCAGCCCTTCTATCACCTCCCGCTGCAAAATTCAACCATCCGTCAAGACTCAAGGTAAATGCCACCTACTCTAGAAAGGTTTCACTGAGGCCCACCCCAGCCTACAGCCCCCGGGATGGCCTCCCCCCTTCTGTAAGGCCCAGCACCTTCTGAGGCGGCACATCCTCCACCTCAGAGCAGCTCGCACGCCTGAGCCAGCCCTTCTCTTGGGTTGCAAATGTCTTCAAGACAGAGTGGGCGGTCTCAGTCAGCGTTGTTTCCTCCTGAACTGACTACTCACACTTCCTGACCACGGCCCTTCCACAAAGCCTTGCTGAATTGAGGCAAGGAAACAGAACAGGCCCTGTGTCAGGAGACACAGCACCATTCCCACTGCTCCCCAAAGACCTCCCCACAAGGGGCCTGCACGGCCTCTTGGGGTGTGACGTGGCTTAAGAAGGCTTCAAGGTCCTAGCCCGGGAAACCAAAGCTGTACATTAACTCCTTTAGGTTCACATGACATCAGCACTGAGCTGGGAACAGAAGACAGACATCTGGCCCAGGTGCCTTCCCCACCCTCTGGCCAAGGTCTCCGGGCCCCGCCTGCCCATCTATCTCCCTTTGGTCCCATGAAGACAAGTTCTAAGGAGGACTATTTGTTTCCTAAGGACTGAAGAGCCTCAGCCTTGGGGCAGGGCTGAGGGGTGTGTATGAGTCTTCACGTCAAGAACCACATGAAATTAAAAACAGCGGCTACACGGTGACCCGGGATTCCCTAAAAGTTAACGGTTTAAGTATATAAAGACGCATGTTCAAGGATGCTTGTCACAGAACTGCTCATAGCGGCGGGGAAAAAAGTAAACAACCCGATAGGGGGTTCATTAAATAAATTATGGTAGTTTCCCTCCATAGAATCCTAGGTAGCATTTATAAATAATGTAATTCTATATTGGTTGACATGAAAAACCAGTCATGATATCATAAATGAAAAGGCACGTTACGACACATTTTACCATTTACTATGCATTTTACCATTTACTATGCATTTTACCATTTACTATGCATTTTACCATTTACTATGCATTTTACCATTTACTATGCATTTTACTATCCTTTTGTCTCATTTATCTATCTACATGTGATTATATAAACACACACATGCACAGAAAAAAAATTCTGAAATCTAAAAATGTAAAAGGACATATACCAAAATACCAGTCATAGGATTACGGGCGATTTAAACATTCTTTAGACTCTCTCGTTTAGAGTTTGTTTCTTCACTGCGACTTATAATCAAAGCACAACAGGACTGCCTATGATTTTGCTTTGGTCGCCAAGTCTGTCCTTTGAGGTTCTGTGAAAATCTTCCATAGTCTCTGACCAGCGATCGCTCTATCCTCTGCTGGAGCGCCTCCCTCCCACTGCCCCCGTTCCCGCCCCCCGACCCCGACCTCACGTCCCCAGTAAGGCAATGCCCACCAAACATGCTGGTTTACCACTTAGTTTTACTTTTCATTGAACACAGAAGCTTCCTCCTTACGGTAATATTTTAACAGTTGTAACGTTAACTGTCACTCTCTTTTGCCAAAGTTACGCACACACGGTCCCCTGAGCCCAGCTCCCACGTCCCAGGACGAAGACGCCCAAGACTCTCACCTGTAGCGATTCCGTCAAACAGGGACAGCACCCGGATAGGCTTCCTCTTCTCGGCTGGGACAGGTGGGTAAACCTTCGGAGGGTCCTAGGCAGCCAGCACAACAGGCCCGGTGAGTGTCCAGGAGTGTCCTACAGACCCGCACGCGGGGCTGGCCTCCCGGCCAACTGTGAGCGCTTGGGATTTCCAGACCTGCACAGCCCGCTCGTGGCTCAGGCCCCGCTGCCCGGCGCCCAGGCCCCCGACCGACCGAAGCGCTCTCGCTCTGGTGGAGTCTGCCCTCTGGCTTTGGCAGGCGGGGGGTGAGGAGAGCCACCCTCGGCCCAGCACTCACGAATTCCTGGTCGTGGTTATTGGCGAAGAACATCTGGAGCCGAGAGGGCCAGTCTTCTCGCCGCCGCAGCAGCCCGTAGGTGCCCTTGTGCCCGCACATGTAGCAGTTCCAGGGGTCTTCCTTAATGGCTGCCTGCGCAGCTCCCGGCCCCACCAAGAGATCCACACATTCAACGCAAAAGCACCTGGAAGGAAGCCCAGTGGAGCGGAGGGGACTCTCACCCCAAGGCCAGTCCCGGATGGAGTGTGGCCGCAGTGCAGGGCAAAGAGGGAGGGCCACTACGCGCGGGGGCGGGGCCTCACCTGCAGCAATTGTTGTTCCCGCACATGAGCACCTCGCGCCCCCCGCAGCAGATGGTGCAGTAGGACTGATAGCCGTCATCATCATACTGGTACGCGCACTCCAGGAAGCAGTTCTAGGGAGCACGGCGGAGGCTCAGAGACCACCGGGCAGCACCCAGGCCAGCCAGGGTGAAGGCAGGCTATGAACCCAGCCTCTGGGCTTTGGCCTTGAAACCTCGACACAGAGCCCTGGAGACACGACCCCGCTACCCATCCAGCCAGGGTCCAGCCCAGACCACAGATCTGGGAAGGGGACACCATGCCTCCCCACTGCAGTGGACAAACCAAGGAGAGGCGCGTGGGAAGGGCTGGAAAAGAAGGCCTGCACCGCCTTGTGGTCCCCCGCCCCAGGGCACAGGGACCCACCCATCAGTCTGTCCACGCCCACTTCACACTAGCGACTGTGAGCCCACATCTGGGGACATGAATGGGGCTTTAGAGGGGGCAAGGATCTCTCAGAGGAAAAGCAACAGCAAGTCAAACGCGTGAAACCCAAGGATCCATTTTATCAGGACTCTGCTTCAAGAGCAAACCTCGGAGTCACCCTCACAGCTATCCCAGGCGCCTACAGCCCAGAGGCCAGGAGGTGTGGCCAGCCAGGGGCCTCGTCTCTGCTGGGTGTGCCCCTACCTTGCAGTTTTGGCACATTCCTCCGATGAAAAGAGGGTGTTCCAGGGTGACGTTGAGGCTTCCACAAGAGATGCAAATGTCTGGAAAACAGAGGAAGCAGAGTGAGTGTCACAGAAGGGCCCCCTCCCCGCTTGGGCCGAAGCCCAGCTCCAGAAAAGCTATAACAAGGGGCGTGCTGGAGCAGCAGCCAGAAATGAAGGCAGGAAAGAGTCTGGGAGGGGCCCCATGGAACAGGGAGGCAGCGCGGCCCCGATCTCAGAAGCCCACTCATCTCCCTGAGCAGCAACGCCGCCTTCCAGGAAAGGCATGGTACGAGGGTCAAGAACCCGCTGTGAGAACGGGGCCTGACCCTGTGTCACTCTGGAGATGTCCTCGGGCAGTCAACCCTTAAGGCCTAGGCCCCTGCCCTCATCCTTCCTGGCCCTGAGGGCCCCGAGCTGGACACACCATCACTAGGCCAAGGGAGACAGATATGGGATGCACTAATGACCCCCAGATGAGAGCAGGTGAGGAAAGGTAAAAGGGCAAGTTCAGATCCAAGAGAGGCCACCCTTATCTGACCCACTGGAGTGTCCCAAACCCTAGTGACCAGTTCCCACCACCGACAGGAAAGATCGTGGCCCCGGAAGATAGATGTGTGTCAGGCAGGCTGGAGGTGGTGGGACATAAAGGACACAACCTGTCACCAAGTACTGATGTCCCACGGCATCGTACCTTCCTCGGTACCTATAGTACTCTGTGCCGGCCACCACCTCAGGGCCCAAGTGGAACAGACAATTGACTTCCCAGGGCCAAGGCCCAGCTGCCCCCTCAGGACTCACCCTCGATGTTCCGGCACTTCTGCCGCACCTCGTACACCAGCCGCTCTGCAGAGGGGAGGAGAGCCCGGCGTCAGAGGAGGCCTCGAGGGTCATGCCCATTCCTCTGAACGCCGGCCTCACCCTGCCGCTCTCTCCAGAGCCAGGCCAACTACCTCTTGTGCGTTCATCAATTATCTCCTTGACCTTGGGCTTTTCAGTTGTGCTCTTTCGGGGCTTTTTGGCTGGTGGGGGCGGTGCATAGGCAGCTGCCTCGGGTTCAACCCACATGTCTGTGTAAACTTCTTTGTAGGGGTTCTTCTCCTCTGGATCGGGAAAGCATGTGATGAGGTCATGGTTACTGGCTGACGAGGAATCCCAGCTCTCTTCCCCTGGACCATCTACCTACAACGGGGTGTAGCAGGGTGCGGCCCGGTGCCCAGCTTGTTCCTAGCTCCCAAGTCTCTGGTGCCAGCAAGCCAAGGGGGAGCAGGTTGTTCAAAGTCCCAGAGTGGCACTGGCCCTACCTGGCCCCAGGGAGGGGGAGACGGCGGCCATTCCCACTGCGAAGCTTCATGGAGGAGGCCTTGACGGCCCTACCTAAGCACGGCTTTCCGAGCCTGGGTGCGGAGCTGCTGGTGCACCTGCGTTTACCTTCTGGGGGCTCCAGGCCCTTGGGGCCAGAGGGCTGGAACCCTCCCAGGGCCCATTCGATCATCTGTTTGTTCTGCACCTCCACGGCCTTGGCAGTGTCGCTCTCGTCGCTGTCGTGGCACATCGGGAACAGCTTCCCTGCTCGGCTGCTGGCCACCTGGAGGGCAACACGTGTGGGGAGAGTAGCGAAGGTGGGCTCAGGCAACAGGTGGGAGAAGGTGCAGAAAGGAGACGGGTAAGGAGAGAAGGAGGCCCGAGGGCCTCCCAGGCAGACCCTCTGCCCAGGCCTAAGCCCTGTGCTCCAGCTTCCAGACCAAAAGTGGTCCCTGCCGTCTGAGCTCGCCCTGCTGAGTCCCTCGGAGGGGCACTGACCTGCAGTACTTCGTAGATGGCCTTGCGGTACATGGGCTGCTTGTTGTAGGTGGCCTGGTGGAAGGCGCTGCAGAAGGAGCTCAGCGGCATCAGCTTCTCCACACACACCTGAAGGCACAACCCGCCCTCGTTTGCTCCTCCTTCCACACTCACCGAGCACCCACCACTTGCCTGGCGTGGTCAGGGGCGGGGGCATTAGGGCCCGGCCTCTGCCCTCAAGAGGACCGGATGCACCAGTAAATAATTACATGACGTAAAGGAGGAGTCCAAGCCCCGGTGTCGGGGAGGACCTGAATGCAGGTGGAAGGGAATTCTGGGTACAGGGTTCCTGGAAGACATCCGACTCTTGTTTGGAGTGCAACCTAATGATCTCAAGGGCTTCCTCCAATCACACATATACAGAGTGGGGACGAGCAGAGCCCCCCCCTACCATCCCAATTCCGAACCACGCCCCCAGCCAAAACCAGAGGCCCCGGGACCAAGACCCCTTCCTCCCCGCCCGCCCCTGCCAGGCTACCGCCAAACCCCAAGACTCACCACTGAGAACTTGCCATCTCCGAACCACATGACCCAACGGGTGCCTTCTGCTGCTCGGCTCCGGCCCGTCATCCACCAAGACACAATGCGGCCTGGCCACCAGGAGAAGCCCCGCAGTTTCCCCCACACCAGCTCCCCAATGCCAAAGCCCCGGCCGTCCTGGAGCCCCAAGGAGCAGAAGTCATTACATGGTGGTCACGAGGCCCTGCCACCCTGATTCCCCCCAAAGCAACCCCAGCCCTGGGCATCTGAGGGTCAGGACAGCCAGGAGGGAGCGCCATCTGAATGGACAGAGCGAGACTGGAGAGACAAAGAGGCCTGGGGTCGGGTAGAGAGAGCAGGACGGGAGGAGCTGGACGAGGCAGGTGAAGCCAGCCGCTCACCTCGTACTCCGGTTCATCATCAGCTGCTTTGGCGGCGTTCTTGTCCCCAGCGTCAGCCCCCACGGGCTCAGGCGTGGTGGCCACAGTGGGGGATGCGGGGTCGGTGGGCTGCTGCACAGCAGGAGGACTGGCCTCCTCCACCTTCTGAGACTCGGTGGACCCCTGGTTTTCTTCGACAGCATTCATTACTGCAATCACCTTGGCTTTCTTCTCAGCCTGGGGAAACAAGGAACAGAAGTTACCTTGAGCTGACACTCAAGGGGCTCTTCTCAATCTCTCCAGGGTCTGGAGACAGTGACAGAAGGTAAGGGGCTGGAGAGAGGAGTTCTTCCCTCATCAACTCAACCAGCTTGCCACGGAAAACAGAAAGACGTGAAGTTGAGAGGTGAGCTCAGATCACTTGACTCAATGCCAGCCTTCTCTGCCTCCTAGGCGATCTTCCTCCCTCGTCTAACCTTCCTCAATTGTCAGCATCATCAGTTGCCCATCTTCCGATACGGAGAGATCAATTCTATGCAGATACCAACCATGCCCCTTAGATTAGGCACAGACCTTGGCTCCAGCCTCTCCTATCTTACTCCTCGATCTAGAAATGGATCCTCTTGTCCTTTTCTCCATAGTTTTCCTGGGCAATCGACCCCTTCTCTTCCTGGTCTTGGCTTCCAGACCACAATTCTAGTTTTGTTGTGATACGTAACGAAGAAATCACTGTTTTGTGTTCAGAGCGCACGGTTCCTTCCCCCTCTGCTCAACCACCACGAAAAGCCCCAGAAGAGCTTGCCTGCTCGCGTGCTCACACGCCATCCTGGAGTTCTCAGGATCACAGCTAATGTATGTTGTCACCAGATTCTACGCCTTCTTTCTACGTGCACCTTTCAGATCCATAAATACACTTATTCTTTCAACAACTATTTAGGGAGTCCACAGTATAGCCAGGCATCCTCTCTGCCATCCCACTGACAAATTAATCCAAACCCAAGTATTCTCCCAATTTGAACAGCCTCCATCCTTTCACCGTTCACCATCTCATGCTCATCTTTCAGGCTATGACCTGCATGCCCATTCCTTCTCCAAACCTGCTCCAGGATTCCCATCACCCTGCAGAGGAGAATGAAATACCTGATACTTAGCTCTGAGGGCCATTCAACCTAATCTCACCCATCTCACCCCAACGGCTGAATCTAGGACACGTGGCCCTCAAGCTTCAAGGCTCTGCACCCGTTTTCACCACACTAGATTCAAAGGGAAAAAAATCCCACCTTCAACATGAAGCTTTCCCTGAGAACTTAGAGCTGTGACTACAAACCCACCCTCAAGATTACCTGGAGTATAAGACCTCTAAGCTGGAAGTCACAGCATTTATATTCCTGTCTTAGCCTTGCAACTAATTAACAGCCGACTTGGGAGCAGTCCCTTGAGTTGCTCCACCTAAAAAGGAGTTTGAACTGAAGGATTTCTGTTAACCTTTTCTGACTGGTTGAAGAAGCTGATGTATGTATGTACCAAGAATTCCAAGGCCTCTTCAAAGCCTGTCAATGGACCCCCAGGTCCCAGGTTAAGAACAGCTCAATGGTCCACTGTCTCTTAGATTCATTTTATTTTGATCTATCTTCAAGTCTTTGCCTCCTGGCCACAGACCCAATCTGCTTCTTGTTACAATTCCTAAAACACGAGGATGGAAGTCTTAGTTCTTTCTCTGACTCAACAAATTCTAAAATGGGATAAAGCATCCTTTGCCCCCAGCCCACAAACAGCTGGGACAGAGAGCTCCGAGGTGGGGTGAGGGTGGAAGAACGCAGAGGACCTGCTCCTCCCTCCCAAGCCCCACCCTCACCTGGGGGATCCTGCCCCACCCCTTCCTAAAATCTACCTCCTCCCCTCCCACAAGGTGTGCCTAGGTGCGCACTCAAGCCTGTGGGGAGAGACGTTCTCTCTCAGAATTGTCAGCTGCGGCTGCGCTATCCCAGGGCCAGATCTGCTCAGATAAGTGCCCTGCCTAGCAGTCTCTGCTCCCTTCCCTCCACCATGCCTCCGTGAACTTCAGGCACGGCCGCTGACCTAGACCAGGGTGCTGCCTTGGGTGGAAGGCAGCACCATTCTGCCAAAAGACCCAGTTTCCAGGGGCGACGGGCCCCCTCAGCCAGAACAAGGTGCGCAGGTGGCAGGAGGCGGCAGGGGGAAAGGATCCCAGCAAGCAGCGCTGGGGGGGCCCAGGGCACACACGTCGGGCTCCCCCCGGCCTCCCCCAGTCTAGAAGGCAGTCGTGCCTGACGCCACCCTCCTCACTCCCCCTCAGCCCCTTTGTCTCTCTTCTCAACCCCTCCACAGTGAGTTCCTGAACATTATTCTTCCCCCACAACTTCCCCCAGCTTGTCAGACGGTGCTGCTGACGGCTGTTAAGCGCCCCCAACCCAGTAGGTGCAGGAGAACACGCACCCAGCATGGTTTGGCAGGCAGGGGAGGAAGGGGCCTCCACCGGGACAAGGCCAGCAGGGGTGGGGGAAGGAAGAAGGGGGTGGGTCAGCAGCAGGAGGCAAGAGGAAAGGGGAAGAAGGGGCGAGAGGGTGGCTGGGTGGGGGAGGGGCTCATTAGAATAGACTTGCCTAGGGCAGTGCGGGAGGCCCCTTTTCCACGTTCATGCCAACCCCCCGGACAATAGGAGAAATAAGGGTTAACTCTGGGCTGGGGCTTTGGGGCTAAAGGCTCCCCCCCACCTCAGTTCAGAAGGTCCTACCCCAGAGTAGCCAAGAGACTGGGCAGGATCAGGAAGACACCACACCAGCCCCACTACGGCGGCTCGAGGAGGCCACTTGGCCTGGAGTTTGTTCTGCCTGGAGAGCCACTGGTAACTCCACTCTGGTGGAGGCATGGCCTCCCCATCCAGTCCCATCTCCTCAGGCAGCTGTCCCGCCTCCACCTCTCTCTGCGACTCGGGCTGCTTCCCATTCCAAAGGTCAGAGGTCCAGGGACCCACGCGGACCCCGGGCTGTCCTAGGTGCCTCTCCCATCACAGGCCGGCGTCAGGCCACCCCACAGCCCCCTGTCAGGGCCACACTGCTCCCTCCTACCCTGACACCACTTTTTTCTGGTGGCCTGACGGTGGCTCCCAGGAACAGGCAGGAGAGGAAACTGTCCCTCTCAAGAGGCCACAAGCTTGGCACGGCCTGAGGACGGCGTGGTCCACCAGCCAGGAACACAGGTCAGCAAGGAAATGCCAACAACCCATCTGCCAGCCAGCTCGGCAAAACCGCCGCTGCTAGCCCAACTCCACGGGCCGGGGCCTGCCCCCAGCCTTCGCTGACCACTGCCCCAGGCTCACACCAGGCCTGCTCTTGCTGGCCCCTGAGCCGCCAGGTCCCACCTGAGCGCAGGAAGGAGTGGGGCTTGGGGCTCCTGAGGAGGAAGTGGGTGGGACAGCAGTAACTCAGCATCTCCAGAACTCAGGCCAGGCAGGGGAGCCAGCTCCTGCGGGCCGGGGAGGCAGACTTGACTCTTCTCAAGCCCAGAGGGCTGCAGGCCCAGAGATCCTCCCACCGGCCCCGGCCGCCTCCCCGCCCCCAGTTTCCCCAGGGCTCCATCCAGGAACCTACCCATAAGGCCAGGTGCAGCCCCTCTGTGGTCCGGCTCAGGTGTGAGCCCCAGCCCTGAAGCTCTGTAAGTAGCTGCCCGTCTGGGGGGAGGGGAAGGGGGCGATGGGGCTGGGGGGCGGAGGGGGCCAGAGAGAGGGGGAGGGGGAGGTGGGGGGGAGGGATTGAACATTTTCTTTGTCTAGAACTCCAGGTCACGTGGGCCCCGCTGGAGTGCCTGGTTGGCTGCGAGCGGGCCGGGGGAGGGGGCCGGCTCTCAGACGCTGGCAGTGGGCCAGCCCCTCTCCTTCGGTCCGAGGGGCGCGGGCCGGCGCTGGGGCCTGGGGGCGCGGCTGGGCCTCCGCCCGTTCCCAGGGCCCCGCCCAGGCCAGGCTGGAGGCGGTGCCCGCCCCCTCCAACCGGCCAGCCTTCCCCGCCCCCTCTCCTCCAACTCCGCCAGAGCCCGGCGCGGAGCCGGGGGGCGAGGCCGGGAGTCCGCGGGCCGCGCGGGGAGGGAAGGAGGAGAACCGGGAGGGAAGGGGCTGCCCTCCAGCTGCGGAGGTAAGGTACGAGCGCCCAGAGAGCCAGGAGCGCAGGCAAAAGGAGAGAGGAGCTTTCGGGCCGTCTGGGAGCGACAGAAGAAAGTTGTTAAAAGTGAGTCTCAGCAGCACAACCAAAAAAAAAAAAAAAAAAAAGGAAAAGCTTACAGATGAGCGAAGAGGCCCAGGAAACTGTAGGAAAACTCAGAGCACACAGAGATGGGCAGAAAGCGCCCGTACAGAACTGGGTGCGCTCCAGAACGGGAACTGGGAGCGTTGCCGGGGGGTGGTCTCCTCTGCCTTAAACGGCGTGGCGTGAAGAGGAGTTCAGGCTTTGAAAATCACTTCCTGGCCAAGTCCCTGGGTCCCCTAGGTCACTCTGGGTCAGCCTTGGATGTCTCATTTTCCTGTTTGCAAGGTGCGGGGTTGGGGGGTGGGGAGGAGGAGTTCAAAAGTACAGCGATTCCTTCATTCCCAGGCACATACATCTGCTGCTCAAGACTGCACTCGTTCGGAGCCTCCAGGTGCAGCTTCAACCATTTCAAGTTCCCTCCTCCTGAGCAGAGGCCCCTCCCCCCAAGAAGAATATATATGTGTGTGTATATATATGTATATATATACACATACATACATACATATACTCTCTCACTCTCTCTCTCTCCCTCCCCCTCCCCCTCTCTTTCCCTCTCCCCCTCTCTCTCCCTCCCTCCCTCCCTCTCCCTCCCGACATCAGAGAAGCAGACACTGTTGGCCCTGCCCTCAAGGAGCTGACAAATGCAACTAGACTTGGAGAGATTGGAAAAGATCGTTGAAAAGCATCTCTAAAGAGAACTACGCCACAAATACCAACCACCCTGATGGGCCAGGATGGCTTGGAAGCCAAACAAAAATAAGTAGTATCAATGATAAATGAGGTTAAGGAGGTCAGTGTAGAGCAGAGGCTGAACCTGGAGGATGAATCAGATTTGGAATGAGGCTGGATAGGGAGGAAATAAGAGATGTTAGGCTGGATAGGGAGGAAAACACTTGCCCACCTTCACCTCCCGCCCCACAAGACAACTAAAGCTAAGGGGTGCGGAGAGAGATGTTGATGGATATATCCTATCGCAGTGAAGAATAACCGCAGGTTTTCTTACATGACAGGGTGAATGGGTATTTTGGAAAGATTAGCCTGGGGACCTCTCTGGTGGTCCAGTGGGTAAGACTCCACGCTGCCAGTGCAGGGGGCCGGGTTCCGTCCTTAGCTGGGGAATTAGATCCCACACGCGTGCCACAACTAAGATGTAGCACAGCCAAAATAAATAAATATTCCTTTTAAAGAAAGAAAGATTAGCCTGTTTTGTTTGCAGGATGAATTAAAAGGAAGAGGGGCTTCCCTGGTGGCGCAGTGCTTGAGTCCGCCTGCCGACGCAGGGGACGCGGGTTCGTGCCCCGGTCCGGGAAGATCCCACATGCTGCGGAGCGGCTGGGCCCGTGAGCCATGGCCGCTGAGCCTGTGCGTCCGGAGCCTGTGCTCCACAACGGGAGAGGCCACAACAGTGAGAGGCCCGCGTACCCCCCCACCCCCCGCCCAAAAGAAAAAAAAAGGAAGAGCAGGGGAGCTGAGGGTAAATGCTCCCAGCAGGGCAGGGCTGTTTGGCCAGCCACACTCTCAGAGGATCTGGACTGGGGTTCTGGTTCTATCACTGTGACCTTGGACAAGCCACTTAACTCCAAGAAGTCTTTTTTCACTTGCAAAACAGGAGTGATGACATCTGCCCTCCCAGGCCCCGGAATACCAGCATCACTTAAGGAGATAATGCCCCCAGGTGCCTGGCTTCCAACCACAAGCTGCGGGAACAAACCAGCTGGAACAGGTGCTGGTATAAGGAGGTCAAAAGATGGGCTGTGAAGGAGAGCCTACCTACCATCCCTCCTGGGGCTCAGCACCCTTCTGGGGGCCGTCAGAACAAGCAGGCCCTAAAAAAGGAAGAGGACTCCAAATCAGAGCGAGCCTTCTCCAAATAATACTCAGGGACTACAGACTTCCTCTCCCCACCCTGACTGAGATCCAGAACCCATAGAGCAAAGAGGAGCCGTTCCATAAAACACAGGCCCTGTTCTGCTCCAAGCCATCTTTCAACCCAATCAAGGTACCTGCTTGGTATAATTTTTCAGAAGATCCCCAAGCAGAGATGAGAAGCCGTGAGTTTACACCTCCTGCCTGCTCCCACCCTTTAAGGAACATAATAAGACTTGCTTGGCTTCTCTCACTGATGCCTCCCCGGCATCCTCCCAGGCCACTTTAGACCTCACCCCAGGCCTCCTCTCAAAATGAAGTTTCTGATCCGGCTTGGCCGGCTCTTTTTAAAAACACTATCTCATCTATGACATCTCCTTTTCCATTATTATGTGGCTAAACACCTTAGACTCTACACTCCATGGTCTTGGGACTTCTTCAGTAAGTAATGCTGCCTGTGCATGCAGTCAGGACTCAAAGTGTCAGGGTGGACCAGGGCCATCAGTTTCACTTTTTCTTGGCCCACTTAATAAAGGAGCCTTTCCCTGCCAAACTTCCTTATTCTCATTCTTTAAAATTAAGCTCAAATTGGGGGGAGGGGCAACATAAGAGTAGGGGATTAAGTGGTACAAACTACTATGTATAACATAAACTACAGGGATCTAGTATACAGCACAGGGAATATAGTCAATATTTTATAACAACTATAAATGGAGTATAAGCTTTAAAAATTGTGAATCACTGTGTCGTACACCTGAAACTTATATTGTAAATCAACTACACCTCAATAAAAAAAATTTGTTTTAGTAAAACTAAGCTCAAATCTTACCTCTTCCACACAGCTCCCAACTGAAGCAAAAAAAAGCCCAATTCAAAGGTGTCCCCTCGCTACTTAGAGCACTGCCCCTCTCCTGTAGCTACACAGACAGGTAAGGTTACCCTTTTCTATACTCAGTCACTCAGACTGAGATGCGTGTCCTCTTTGTACCTGGTGGGCAGAGAGAGACCTCAACGCAGAAAAGACCCCGAGATCTAGGATAAGAGGTGACTTTAGCGAAAGGTCAGGAAGAAACCAGGGCAGCCTTCTAGGATCCTCAGGTCATATGTGTCCTCGGCCTTCCAGAGTAACCCTCCCAGGGTGGTGACTGGGATAGGTCTTTTGATGAAGATAAAGATAGTCAACCTAAAATAGCAGGGTCATGTAAAGTGAGCCAGGTTCTTGGAAATGTTCTAGAAGTATGTTGAGAGGAGGAACCCCTGGACGAAAAGAAGATCTGGCGGATGTCAAGAGCCTAAAAGAAGTGCTGGAGAGGAAGCGTCCAGCATGGTCCAAAAGGGAGGGTGACCTGAAAGAGAGGGCACATTTCCTGTCTGGCAGGCCGATAGCAGTGATCCAGTAGGCCTGATGAAAACACCTCTTAAGGACACCTGGCTCTCAGCACTTACCCCGTGTTCATCAAGCAAACTTCTAACTTTAATTACATTTTCCAGTGACTCTGATACCAGTAAGCTGCCAGAAAACATCAGGACCACTAGGTCCTGTAGCACTAGGATCTGCGTTGAAAGGACAAGTCCTGTTATAAATCTGTAAATTGAACATCCTGGTGTACGTCACACTCCTGTCTCTGAAGAGCACGATTGTAAGATGTGCCGTGAATCTGACTTTCCAGCTCACAGAGCTGACGTGAGATGCTAAGTCATGATCCTCCACCCAAGAGCAGCAACTCCCACAGGTGCAGGTGGGAATGCCACGCCTGCCTGACTGGTTTTAACTCAAAGTTCAGCGTTCTGTGGCGTGCTTTGTCATAAAATCCAGTGCTGGTGGGAGGTGGGGAGGTTATGTTGCTTCCCTCAAACAGGACAGTACCACCTGAGTCCCTGTACTCAGAATCAGAGAAGCCGGGATCCCTAAGAAGCCATCTGCAAAGCCACATATTGGGAGGACACTGCATATTTTCTGCCACATAAACATTCCCACTGACCCCAAGACCAGCGAGACCTTATCCCGGCAAAGGCTACAAGATCAAGATGGATGTCTCTTCTGATCCTGGCCTGCCCTTCCATCTGCAGCCCAAAAGCCTCAGTACTACACAGTAGACCTGTGACTACCTGCTGATTACAATCTACGCTCCTTGCATGGCATTCAAGGCCCCCACAACCTGCAGCACTTACATCACACAGCCCACACTCTGCCCACCCACTTGCTGTTTCCCAAATATGCCCTTTCCCTGCCTCTGTGCCTTTGCTCGTGCTGTTCCTTGCTCTTCCCCTTCACCTTCCACTGGCCAAAATCCCACCTATCCTTCTAGGCCCAATTCACCAGTTACCTCCACCAAGAAGGTTTCTCTAGACCTGAACTGGCCAATAAGAGAGCCACTGGCTGCATGTGCCATTTAAATTCATTAAAATTAAATAAAAATTCAGTTCCTCAGGTGCACTAGCCACATCCCAAGTGTCCAAGAGCCCATGTGGGTTTTTGGTGCTACTGTACCAGGGACACAGATTTTAGAACATTTCCCTCTTTGCAGAATGTTCTTTGGACAGTGCTGCTCTAGCCCCTCCCCCTGATCTTCCCCCACTGAAAAGTTACCCTGTCCCTCCTTCTCCTCCGTACTCCCAGAGCACTTTGTAATCCTCTCCTAGCACTTGCCAGTCTTTGCCTGTACTAAGCTGATTGTGTACTCATCTTTCTCCTCCACAAAATTAAAAATCCTAGAGGGCAGGGCCGGGATCTTACTCAGGTTCACATGCAAGCAGTGTGGACCAGAGCCTCTTGCACACTGTAGAGGATGAAAGCAGTGTTTGCTGAACTGAATCCAACATTGTCTCAGGAGCCTCATATGGAGTCCACTGACCAAGTTCCCAGATGCGGACAGGTACTTTCCACAGCAAAGTTCCGATCGGTGCTAAGAGGTCCAGGTCCAGGGCTCCCGAAAGAGGCCAGGAATCTTTGTTTTCCTATTCCCCTGCAATCCATATGGAGGTTGCAAGCAAATGACCAGGACTGGGCTGCTGGCAATGAAGCTAAAAATAGCCACAGAGCCAACAACAAGGAGTTAGCAGGACTTGTTGCTAGGGAGACCGGTCGCAGAGAGAGCAACCAAGCAGGGAGAAAGCGTCAGACCTGCACCCAGAGAGCAGAGGCCACGGTGGGGGGAACTCAAAGTTGACAGGGGTCCAAGGATCCCACCTAGAGATGTTCTGCCTTCTGGTAGCTCCTGACTAATGCACTAAGTGGGGCAAGTGTTCCCCCTGTCCCTCAGTAACCCATCTCCATGGAAACCACCATTGCTGGGGTGAAGTACCAGCCCCTGGAAGGGAGGCCTCTGCCTGGAGCCGGTTGTTATGGCAACCCGCCCCCCGCGCGCCCCCCCCCCCCAGCCCATCATCCTCTCTCTGCTGGCTTCTCCTGTGGGGAAAAGGTGGGGGCCTGGTCTTGGCTTAGCCAGCATGACCAGGAAACACCGGCTTCCTGACAAGACTGACCTACGACGGGCTCTTCGGAAGCTCCTGGGACCCCGGTACGGCCTGTCAATCCTCAGCACAGGGCAGAGCTTCCTTTCCTTCCTGTGAGGGCCTCACGGATCACCTTGCCAGGAGAATCCCATACTCCTGTGGGTTTATTTGTATCAGGATCACCCGAGGAGATTTTTAAAAATACAGATTCTTGGGCCCCACCTATGGAGATCAGCTGGCTTGGGGTAGGGCCCAGGAATCTATTAAAACCTCCCTAGGTAATTCTGATACCAGCCAGGTGTGGAGACCACCAATGGCCCTGGCTGTGACAAATGAGGAAACAGGCCTACAGGGGACTCAGCCCCCCACCCAAAGGGTCAGAGCCAAAAACTGAGGAGGAGGTAAACACACACCTGAGGGGAGCCGCCCACCTCCTGGGCCTGTCGCTCTTGCTCCCCCTTGAAACGAGAACACGCCGTCTCTGATATTGGACTGGGATTTAAAACTGAGCCTCTCAACAAACCGTCCCCTGTGGCAGAAAGTGGAAGGTAGTGGGGCTAGGCAGCCTGGTTCCCAGAGTGTACAGAATGGTGGCTGCCCAGGCAGATGATCTGGGCTGAAAGAGAAATCCATCCTCCTTCGGAAGGAAAGCTAAAGGGTCACCATGGCAACTGCAGGGTGCCGGCCCGGCTGGGCTTGGTGCCCTCCCCAAACCTGGGCCCAGGAGAGGCACAGCTTTAGGCAAACGCCATGGGGCAGGGGCACCCCCCTCCCCCGCCAGTCTAGTCTAGTTTCAGAACTGTCAGGAGGCTGTGCTCTACCCTGGA